CTATGCACAACAGCCCTAAACCCTGCTCTATCCTGCGCCAACCGCACCGCCTCTGACACACCCATCCCGATTACACCAGTCACCGAATCAATCCATCTCATAGAGGGTCTTCCCCTCCTGCGCTGTCCCTCCACCCTCCCAAGCATGATGTCCCTCTCCAAGGACCCGTCCCTCCTGGCAACATGTCCAAAGTATGTCAGACGAAGCCCCAGAATCCTTGCCTCCAAGGAGTAGCTTGGTTTAATCCTCTTCAAGATGAATCTATTTGTTTTCCTGGCAGTCCAGGGTACATTCAGTACCTTTCTCCAGCACCACAGCTCAAAAGCATCCACTCTCCTTCTGTCCTCCCTAGTCATTGTCCAACTCTCTGATGCATAACAAGCGATTGCAAATACCATGACCTGTATCAGGCGCACCTTAGTCTCCAGAGAGACAATGTTGCTCCTGAGTACCTTTGAGAGGTCCCTAACAGCAAACTTTCCCATCGCGATACGCTTTTTGATTTCCTGACTGCTGGTACCAAGAGTGTTGACTGTGGAGCCGAGCAAACTGAAGCTGTGAACACTCTCAATCTCTTCGTCATCCATCCTGACGCTGCCAATTGGTCCAGTGGCGAGAATCTTTGTCTTCTTGACATTGAGCCTCAGTCCATACTAAAGGCTGCAGTCCTTGACCCTTCGCAGCAAGTGCATGAGGTCCTCCTCAGTTTCAGCAAGCAGGGTTGTGTCATCTGCATAACGCAGATTGTTAATAGATCTTCCACCAATCCTGATGCCACAATTCTCCTCATAGAGCCCAGCCTCTCGGATAATCTGCTCTGACTGTTTTACAGATAACATGAAATAATACATACTAAGCAAATACGAATGTCTAGTTTAAGTGCTTATTTCTCCATTATCCATGCTGAAGCCTTGATGGGCACCCTTGCTGTGTGCCCTTGAGCCATCCTTGATGAAATGAAACAAGTAGGCTCTCTTCCAGGAAAAGCTGAAAGACAGACCTGGGCCTTTCCCAACAATGCCTCAACAAAATTAATCTGGGAAATTCTGCACACCAAATCTCATCGTAAAAATTCAAAATATACATCATTATATTAAAAGCTCAGAAAACTCTTACAGTAAAGAAAGCCATTTGGTTTCATTTAAGCTAGTGTTTGCTAAATGTATTTGACCTCTTGTTTTTCACAATAATGTCTCCATTTTGCATTTGGAAAAATGCTACATCAACAAATAAGCCTATTAAAGTTGGTAAGAGGGTCAGGGGAATAGTGAACAAGGATCAAAATCCCAAAAATCTCTCATTCCTTTTTAGGAATGGTAAATTATTAAAAGAAAAACCAAATCTTTCATATGATTTATCTTGTGCCATTCAAGTGTCCTGAAGCCAAGAAAATAATATATTTAAACATCCAAATCAACAATTCTTAAAAGTTTTTCATCAAACAATGCTTAAAACGTTATTGAAGGTGGTGGGATTGCTAAAGGGAAAGAAGAATCTCATGGGAGTGATGAATGTATTCATTACCTTGACCAAGGCGACAGATGACGCACAGGTCATACAGATGTCAATGTTTATCACACTGTATTCATTACACATATTAAATATGTGTGATTGATTACGTATCAAGTATAGCTTGATAAAATTATTAAAAATATTACTGAGAACATAACGGGCTTTTTATTTCTATCAATATCTATTAATTAGAAATTAGAACTAAAAATTGTTTTTAAATACGTATGTATTAATTCACTTAACAATCACAACTCATTTCATGTTAAGTAGGATTTTTAAATTCTTAAAAATGTGATATTTACAAAACAACTAGGAGATATCCTCTCACCCCAGTAAGAATAGCAAAATTTAACAGAACAGCAAACATCAAATGCTGGCGAGGTTGTGGAGAAACTGGAACCCTTAATCACTGTTGGTGGGAGTGTAAAATGGTGCATCTACTATGGAAGACTATATGGCACTTTCTCAAAAAGTTGCAAATAGAAACACCATTTGACCCAGCAATTCCACTACCGGGAATTTACCCTAAAGAAACCATAACTGCCACCCAAGCAGATATATGCACGCTCATGTTTATTGTAGCTTTGCTCACTATAGCAAAGAGCTGGAAACAACCCAAGTGCCCAAAAACTGGTATATTCACACAATGGAATACTATGCAGCATTGAAAAACAAGGAACTCATGAAATATTATGCAAAATGGATGACCCTGGGGGACATTATACTGAGTGGAATATCTTGAAGGGACAGCATAAACCCCATTTTTTATGAAGCCCCATTAATACCAGAAGCAGAAGCGGGCCATAAAAATTCTTAGCTTAAGGCAAACACAAATGCCCCGGGTAAAGTCTTATCTGTCCTTGTAAAGTAAAGAATTAACTAGTGTCTATGTGACACAAAAAGAGCAAAGGTGGGCAAAGTAGCCAGCCCATCAAAAGCCGACCCACATGACTGATCCCCCGACCCACCAACCACGATCTCAATCTCCCTGCCCCAACAGTGGTACCCAGGAAAGCCATAAAAGCAATTATGAGGGGGGACTCGGGGCTTTTTCCCTCATCACCTTCCAAAGGAGGGAGAAAGTCTTCACATGTAGAATAAAGTGCTTATTTGTATTTACAAATGTGTGGATTAATTCTTTTGAGGGGCATTTTGTGGGCAGAACAATCTCAGTCACAAAAGGACAAATATTGCACAGGGCCACTGTTGTAAAACAGGACTGACATCAGGGTTGAGGGAAGACAGAAAAGGATGGGAAGAATGATGTATGTATACTGCATTGAAACAGATGTGGGAAAGAACTGTTTCAAAGGGATATATGATTAGGTATTATTGTCATTACAATAGTCCAGAATGAAGGCTACACAGTGGAGTGGACTTGGGGAGAGGGATTATATAATAATTTTTAAAAATGTGATATTTACAAAAAACCTAGTGGGAAGAGTTGTATTATTTTTACATTGCTGCTAATATGTTTAATGTCTGCTTTGAAAGAAGACAGCTAGATTCTCCTCTCTGCTTCACCATTCAATATGTGACTAAGTGTTATTTTGGTCAAAATCTATAAAGAAAAAGGGGCTTCATAAGATAAATAGTGATGAAAATGAGCTCTAGGAGCTAACATGTAGGGGTTGTTCTGTTAATCCAAATGCTTTGTGCCTCTGGAGGTTCAAATTCACCAGGAACTCCCTGGAAGAAAAATGGGCCGTCTCCTCCAGTGCTATCTATAGACTCAGAAACTCAAAGGAGTTTGACTATGCTTTGGTTCTAACACTATGGCAAGCAATAGGTTATGTGATTGGTTAGTTTTGTTGTTTTTAATATTACACTAAAATCTGTTAAGTGATTTTTTTTTTCCAAAGACAGGTACTATGTAGAATCTGAAACCACATGAATAAACTTAGACACTGTTTATTAAAATCTATTGGTCTCTCTTGAATTTTCTCACATTGTTGTTGTTGTTGTAGTGTACCAAAGAGTCAGACCAACCCATAGCTGACCCTCCAGCAGGTTTTCAGAGGCAGTTAATTGCATGGGAGGAGAATGCCCATCCTTCTTCCACAGAGCAGCTGGTGGTCTCAAACCTCATGCTTTTGGGACTGCAGCACAGCTTCCTGCCACTAGGCCACCAGAGATCTCTTATACATTGGTCTTCAGAAAATATTTGTTCAGAGCCACACAGACCATAGAAATAATTATATTGACAAATTCCTTTATACAACAGAAAAATATCTTATTAGTTGCAATCACCAATCCAAATTCTTAAAATATCGGCAAGCTGTCATGCTCATGACAAAACACAAGGTTTGCAAAACTACAATTTTTTTTCTTCAAGGCTCAAATTTTATCCTTGCCAACAAACACTATCAATTGTTTTCTTTGAAGCAAAACACTCCTTTCCGTCATTTTCAAAAATGTCTGCCAAATACACAAGTCTAAACAAAAATAACCATCCTTTGTTACTTTTCCTTTTAAAAATAAAAATGTTAGTCTATAAAGCACAATCAGCTAGTTGTCTTAAGTATTTTTCAAGAAAATTACACTTCTGTACACTTTATAATATTCCCCACTCCATCACAAAATATTGAAAAGTTATATACTCAAAGGTAAAAACTAACTAAAATTAATAATTTTTATTCCATCAACAAAAGACTTAAAACCCACTGGAAGTTAAGCTATGGGTCAGTTCCAACAGAACAGTAGCAAGATTTATCAGAAATGAAGAGTCCAAACATTCATTTCAGAACTGTGTATGTACAAGGCCATCACTCCTAATTTACACGTTTATTTGAAGAAATAAATTTATATGGGGCTAGTCATAAATCAATGACATTTACATGTCATTCTGATTACGGAATAACTAATAATAGTTCTGATTTCTCATGGACAGTCTATGTAATACAGGTGGATCACAGTAAGTTGCTTCATCCCAAATTTCTAAACAAGTAGTATTTAACATTTTCTTTGACGGAAAGTAAAATAGAAATAAGTTTTTTAGTATCTTACTTTCTGTTTATATATTGTAAATAGTCATTTGACTTTTTACAAATGTCAAAAAAAATTTATTCAAGTGCAACTGAACATGTAGATATTGGGCCAAATAATAATCATCACAGTAATTCATATTTCTGCAGTTAGGCTTTTGAGAGATATACTAAGGAAGAAAGAGTACAGATATTTAAAAACAGTACATATAATGACACCCTCATTAAAAATAATGTCCTCTGATTGATGACATCAAAAATATTGTCCACTACAGACAAAAAAAATTCAGTAACAATAAATTCTAAAACGGGAATTATTTAAAATAAAGCATAGTGTATGTTTACACTTATGAAGTCATTTTTAACTATATTTAAACCCTAGTTACTGACTTACACATCTTAGAAACTCATATTCATGACATAAAATTTATCTTAGAAACTCATATTCATGACATAAAATTTAATTTTATAAAACAAAAATGGTAACAGAGAAAGTGAACTTACCCGATCTGCTAATCCTCCAGGAACTATCGTCCTCACAACCACTCCACTAGATTTTCCTCCAACGATTCCAAAACCCAAACCAGATCCATCATTAACAAGCTCAACATCTTGAACATGACCCCAGCAAACCTACAGATTAATGGCAAAAGTCACAAATGTCAGTAAAATATATATATTCTTAACTTCCCAAAACAGTAGTTATTTAACTATTAATGTAAGTTATATACAACAAATTGAGCATTCTTATAATTAATCAAAGTACCTTTTTAGGGCGAAAACGTATATTTTTTTCTCCATTTAATCCCTGCTCTTAAAAATATTTAAATCCCGTAGATAATTTAAACACGAATAATAAAAAGCAAAATACTAAAACATAAAATGTAATGGCTTAAAGAGGACCATAAAAACCCAGTGTATTGTTCTGTACTCAATATCCAGTATAAAAATGGTGTCAGCACATACAGCAATACAACAAATATGCTTGCCTGAAATGAAAACAGATTCATTAAGTAAAAAATATTTGAAAATAGAAAGAAGTAAAATTCAATAAAGAACTTTTAAAGGAAAAGTTGGCTGGGTCCAGGAGTTGTGCTGTCAATCCAAAGTGAGTCACAGTTTGAATCCACCAGCTGCTCCACAAGATAAAGATGGGCAAAATGTGCAGTAAGCAATGAATGGAAATCCAAGTTCTCTATAAACTTTCATTAAAGCCTCAATAATAAAAAAATAAAGAAATAAAAGATGGGCAATTTCCTCCCCTGCCTTCCAGAGGAACAGCTATGAATGCAAAAATGGAAGGACAGAGTTTAACAGAATGGATGAAAAATATGCTCAAAATGTTTCAATTAAGTGGTAAAGAAATAGGAATATTCAAAGATTTACGAGAACATAACAAAAAATAAAGCATGGTTTAGGAAGACTATTTGAGGAGCAATGTGAAGAATGAAATGATGAGTTCATTGGAGACTGGTGGGATTCCCAAGACTATGACCCCCACATACTCTTCAAACTTAGACCTGAAACTCCCACCCCAGAGATCTTTCAGCCAAACAACAGAGAGACCTAAACAGTAAATAATATTATCTATGAGGAATTTAATCCTTGATTAAACATAAGAAATAAAATAAACCGTATTTCCCAAAAACAAAGCTCAGAAAGCAGAAAGGAGCAGAAAGAAGGATGAATGGAAATGGGGAATCTCAGAAGGATGTAAGAAGAATGCCATTACACTGAAGGGAGCGTAATAAATGTCACAGAACAAAAAACAAATCATTGAATGGAAAACTAATTTGCTAAGTAAACTATCAAACAAATCACAATTTTTAAAAAAATAATTTGGTTTATATTAGTTTGCATATAAAAGATACATTGTGTTTCACACTTTTTCTTCTTTGACATTGCGTTTCGTACAATCATTCTCACACATTGTGTTTTATTAAATTTATCACCATTGAGGCCCCAGGAATAGATGGTATACCAACTGACATATTTCAGCTAACAGATGCTGCCCTGGACGTGCTTACCAAGTTGTGCCAAGAAATCTGGAGAACAACCACTTGGCCAACTGACTGGAAGAGATCTATATTTGTTCCCATCCCAAAGAAAGGTGACCCAACAGAGTGTGGAAACTACAGAACAATATCATTGATTTCACATGCAAGCAAGATTCTACTGAAAATTATCCAAAAACAACAGCATATCAGCAGAGAACTGTCAGAAGTCCAGGCTGGGTTTAGAAGGGACTGTGGTACTAGGGATATTGTAGCTGATGTTAGATGGATCTTAGCTGAAAGCAGGGAATATGCAAAGGTGTGTGACTGTGTGGATCATAATAATTGTGGCTCACTCTGAGAAGAATGGGACTCCCAGACACTAGATCGTGCTAATGACAAACCTATACTTGGACCAAGAGGCAGTTGTCAGAACAGAGCAAGGGAATACTGCATGGTTCAAAATTGGGAAAGGCGTATGCCAGGGATGCGTTCTATCTCCATACCTTTTCAACCTGTATGCAGAACAGATTATCCAGGAGGCTGGGCTCTATGAGGAGAAATGAGGGATCAAGATTGGTAGAAGATCTATCAACAATCTGCGTTATGCAGATGACACAACCCTGCTTGCTGAAACTGAGGAGAACCTGAAGCACTTGCTGCAGAGGGTCAAGGACTACGGCCTCCGTTATGTATTGAGGCTCAATGTCAAGAAGACAATGATTCTCACCACTGGGTCAACTGGAAGCATCAGGATGGATGGGAAGAGACTGAGATTGTTCACAGCTTTAGTTTGCTTGGCTCCACAGTCAACACTCTTGGCACCAGTAGCCAGGAAATTAAAAGGCGCATTGCCATGGGAAAGTCTGCTGTTAGGGACCTCTCCAAAGTACTGAAGAGCAATGGTGTCTCTCTGGAGACTAAGGTGCATCCGATACAGGCCATGGTCTTTGCAATCACTTGTTATGCATCAGAGAGTTGGACAATGACCAATGAGGATAGAAGGAAAATTGATGCCTTTGAGCTGTGGTGCTGGAGAAGAGTATTGAGAATACCATGGACTGCTAGGAAAACAAACAGATTTGTCCTGGAAAGGGCTAAACCAGGTGGCTCCTTGGAGGCAAAGATTCTGAAGCTCCGTCTAACATACTTTGGACATGTTGTAAGGAGAGACCAGTCCTTGGAAAAGGACATTATGCTTGGTAGGGTGGAGGGACAGCACAGGAGGGGAAGGCCCTCTATGAGGTGGATTGATTCAGTGACTGGGGTAATTGGGATGGGAGTATCAGAGACGGTGCGACTGGCACAGAACAGAGCAGAGTTTAGGGCTGTTGTACATAGGGTCGCTATGAGTCACAAGCGACTCAACGGCACATAAAAACAACAACAACAACAATCACCATTGAACTATGCCCACCATTACCCTGTCTTTTCAGGTCACACTGGATCATTCCCATTTCCTTTACCTCCCCCTCCCATACCCTGTGACTTCCCCACTGCCCTCCCTCACCCTTGCAATTTTTTTAAAAAGGCATATAATGATATGAATGACATAAGGTAAAAAGATTCATGTAGGAGACTCTTAAAAAGAAGAACAAAACTTAAACAAACCAATATAATATTTAAAAACAGAAGAGGAAATGTAACTCCAACTGTAAATATTAAGTCATGAACTCAACTCATTGCTCTCAAGTTGGAACTAACAGATATCTAATACTCCAGCAGCTTTTCAGAAGCTGCATAACAAACGGGAGGTGAATACCCATTCTTCTTCTGTGGAACAACTGGTGGATTCAATCCATCTGCCTTTGGGTTAGCAGTATAATCCGTACTCACTATTCCATCAGAGCTCCCTATATTAATAATAGGAATATATAAATTACACCGACAGATATCAGCGTTTTCCCTATCTAGGTCTTCTATTAGAAATATACATTAATAGGAATTGTATAACAATGAAAGGATTTTTCTTTTACTTTTCAAAACGAAGGCTGCATAGTGGATGGACTTGGAGGGAGGGATTGTGTAACAATGAAAGAATTTTCCTTTTACTTTTCAAAGAAAAGAGCGAACTTGGGAGGGGGCAGTTGGACAGGGGGAAAGTGTAACAGTGAATGAATGGAAATCCAAAGTCTCTGTAAACTTTCATTAAAAGAAATACACATTAAGTTTACATACTTCAACCATACAGCAAAACTCTCCTGTTAATATCATCAGGACTTACTCATTGCTTTACAACCAGTGTTTCTGTAACATGGAATTTTTAAAAAGCTACTATGTAAACCTGAAAAAAAATCCAAAACTTCAAATTCTAAGAATACTTCATAAATGTTTGCTTTTAAAAAAATTAAATTAATTCAGTTTACTATGTACCAGTCACTATGTTTAGGTCTTTGCATGCATTTTTATTTAATCCTCAGAGAAGTTCTGAAACAGGCATCCTTTTTTTTTTTAGCCCAAAATATAGATGATGACACTGAAGCATTGAACAGTTAAGGACTTGCACAGTTAAGATGTGGCATATGAAAGGGTGTGAAAGAACTAAATTTGAATCCACCTATATATCTGACTCTAAAGCCCTTGTTCTCAACCACTAGGCTACGCAATCTCCCATTCTATTTATTATGTAAGTTGTATTATATAAATATTACTGATTACAACAGGGAAAATAGCTATATGTTAATTTGTTATGACCTTGTACTGCTCCCAGAGAGTCTATTCTTCCTTTTATCTGAATGAATAAAAGTTAAATAAATCAGCTAGCATTTAGTGTTATAAGAAAATAAGATTTATTAGCATGCATTCTAAAGATGCTGGCAAAAATTATAAAATAAGCTTAAGGATTCTCAAAAAGAGACATATAATTTTGTTTCTTTTAAAAATGTTCAGTATCCATCCTTATGTAACAAAACTCTAACAGTTTTTTATCTGCAGTAATCTAGTCATAAGTCCCAAAACTTCACAGAAGTGTTTTTTTAAATAACCATATCCTAAGATACTCATAGGAAATCTCTAGTAAAAACCTTAATTAACTGGTTACATCATACATCATTAAAGGATGCAAGATTCTACCACCAAATACATTACACTATTACTTTAAATTAGTAGGGAGTTGTACTGCCAATGCAAAGGGAGACAGTTCTAAATCACCAGTGGCTCCCTGGGAGAAAGATGGGCATTCTCCTCCCATGAGATTTACAGCTGAAAATGTCCTGGTGGGTAAACTATGAGTTAGAACCAACTTGATGGTGGCAATGAGTTGAGCTTTAGTTAAGTTGTAATATTAAAAATTGAATCTCATAAAATGAAAAGATAAAACAGAAGACTCCCAGGAAATACCTTGTTATAATATACTAATGCAGCATTTGAAGATATATCATCTTTTCTGATGGCTTCTAAATGGCTTTACATTTAAAAAAAATCAATGACATAATTAAAAATAAAATAATTTTTCCAAATATGTGACTCACTGTTTCAGGGAGCGCTGTATTATTTGGGCTGGTGGCAGGACCACTCTGTGTGTGGATTGGGTTCCTGGCCACAACCAAGCACAAAGATCCAGTGGTTTGTTGTAATAATGCGATTGCTTGCTGATGGGAAACGTTCTGATCCAATGGTGTGTGATTAATGGCCAATATTTGGTCATTTTCCCTCAGTCGTTGATCCCTTCGTAAAATAAGAAAAAAAGATATTTCAAAGATGTAACATGTTCACCTACAAATCTGCTATTCAGATGGTTTTTAGGGATAAAATGGGAGGAAGAGAGCAGTAAAAATTAATAAATAGCTAAGTTAGGTGAAATGAAAGGCAATATACAGTAAGCAATTGATCAGACAATTATAATTAACTTTATAAAGCATATTGTATATGAATAATTGAATGAAAAACCAGTATGAGCTATAAACTTGGCAATTTTTTTTTTAAAATACAACAAAATGTTTAATGAGCAAATTCGTCTTAGCAAATATGAAACTGCCACAGAGGAAGGGGGGACGGGCCACAAGGTGGGGCAGGTGGGGTGACTAGAGAACCAACTACGGAAACCGGGGGACCAGGGGCCAGAGGCAGGGCAGGCGCTGTGGTCCTGGGGAGGGCTGGGCACGCGGCCAGACAACAGAATTCAAAATCTTTTGGCCATAAAATATAAACACGCTATGTTCTAGGTGGGCAGGCAGAGACAAGGGGTCAAGGGGGGAGGGGCTGGGGTCCTGTGCCCCCACTGTGGCCCTGCCCTCTGTGTCTGGGGGTACACTGCCCCGCCCGGCCCACTGCTGCCATTCCAGTTGCTGCCGCTGTCACTGGCTGTCACTCCTCTGCCATCATCTTCAGAGGGAAGAGGGAGGTGGGGGGGGCACGCCCCCGCCGGCCTGCCCGTCTGCCTCTACCAGAAATCCCTGAGGTGGTAGGAGTCGGGGTCGCAGTACTTTGTGACAACAAAGTTCTTTGGCGAACTTGCGGCCAGTCAGGCCCTGCATGGCAATTTTTAAAAACTTAAAATACAACTTTTAAACATTTTATTCAATAGGCTATAACTCAGAGGTCCATATAAGTTAATGCATATCATTATTTAATTTTATACTGCAATTACAGTACTTCAGTGTGCTTTCTATCATCTATTAATTAGCTAATTGTGCACTGCATCCATAATACAATACAAACATGCACCCATGCATACAAACACACCTGTGTACATTTTAAAAGCCATCTGACTAGACAAACATATTTGTAAAGGCAAAAGAAGCTGATGCAATGTAGGAGTGGCCGAGTCTGACTTCTACTCACTCCATAAAGGAAAAGTGTCTCCATCAATAATATCCATAGCAGCAAATAGACAGCTGCTTGGTCAGACCTGCCATCACCTCCTGCACCTTTTTTTACCAATCACATGGGTCTGATATTTGTTGTTTGCTCATACACGTTACTCACAGTTGTGGTACCAAGAGTGGGGTTTATTAGAGAAGTAAGCTTGAGAGGGGAGGAGACAAAGAATATTACCCAAATCAAGTCCAGGTTTTAGCCCAGAAGTCCCAAGGCACAACTCCTCAATTAGCAAAAGTCCTAGTTTCAGTTCAGCAACACAAATCCAAATCATCTAGCAAGGTTTGCCTCAGAGCAAATATAAGTCAGTTTTCCCTTCCATCATCCATCAAGAACAGCAAAACCTTTAATCGTACCCTTTATCGCAGGGTTCCTCTGGTTACACCTTGCCACAGTTTCTCCTTAGCAATGTCAAAGTGTATCCTCCACCACCACTAGGGTCTTACTCTCACAAGGGTCCTCCGACTCACCAACATCTTACTCTAGTCTCTCTCAAACCCACCCCACACACTCCTCTCCCTCTCTCTCTCCCCCCTCTCCCCTCCTCTGCTACCCCCCACTCCCCCTTCCTCTCCCCCACAGCTGTTGATTATTTGCAAGATCATGTATCTGCAATTAAAGTAACTGGAGACCAGAAAGGGCCAGTTTTTAAACAAACATCATAATAAGTCATCGATGCCAATGTTTTGCAAGTATAAATACTGCTTTTATTACTGCACACATCCTATATTCCTGTACCCCTTCCAGTTTGCCTTGTAATACAACACATTAAAATAAAAAAACACAAAAAACAAAACACCAACAACCAACAACAAACCAAATCTGAAACTCATTACCTTTAATTGTGAGTCACAGCTGCCTCTTCATTGAGTTACTGAGGCTGTAAATTGCATGGAAGGAAAATGTCCATCTTCATCCAAGGAATCATTAAGTTGCCAGAGAACTGTAACTTTTGGGTTAACATTGATATAACTTCTTATTGCTACACCACCAGAGATCACCAGAACTCACTGAGGAATGCATATTCTTAAATTCATCAATAGCATCCTTTCTTCACTGATTCCCCTTGACACATGTCATTCATTTCTCCAACATTTGCAGAGGTCAAACACTGCCTCTTAAAAAATCAATATGGATTATTTCCATGTATGTATCTGAGCCCTTTTTTCTTTCCCAAACATCTATGTCAGAAATACTACTTAAGGTAAAAGGGACTATTTTTAATAGAAATTAGCATTTTTTTAAAAAGCATTATTATAATATTTATTGAACATCTATTAGAAAAATATTGGGACAAGAGCTTTCCATGTATTCTTCACCTCACAAATTCCTCCTCCAACCATACTGACCAATACTTTCCCTCTCACACTCAGTATTCCTGCTCCGACTTAAATGACCTTTCAATATGTCTATCCAAATTCAAGCCACACTTTACTATTCAACTGAGCGACCCTTTCCATCTTTCATCTCATTACCACATTGCTGTGAAAGATTCATCCATCAGTTACTGGATATTCATGAAGACTAAATATGCCAGACACCGAAATTTATTACATACATGTCTTAGATTTTCAATCTGAATTAGCAAATTCCAATTTCAGTTTTGACACCTAAATTGTGGGTAGCTGTCTCAATAGCTATTAACCCAAAGGCACATAGTTCAAATCCACCAGCTGCACCATGGAAGAAAAATGGGCTATCTCCTCTCATGAGATTAAATACCTATGAAAACTCTCTGAAAGGTCAATTACGAGTTGCTTCTGGCTCAATGTTACATAACAATAATATAAAGAAAAGTTTATCCTATGCTTCTAAGTGGCAAGAATAAATATAAAACTGAGTATATTCTTTGACCTTATCTTTATTAATAGAAAGCTTTCTGATGTCTATCCTAGTTAACTCAGGTTGATAAAAGTACAATTGGTTTTGATTGTTTCTTTTCTTTCTTCACTTATAATTCCACATATTATCATTTTGTTGTTGTTGTTGTT